TAATTATAAAATTTTATGTGAAATAATTTTGTAATAATTTATTTAATTTTTTATACTTAATATTAATTTAAAAATTATTATTATCTTCTTATTATTGATTTTAAAAAAAAAACTATAATTAATAAATGCCCATCTTTTTATTTTTTATACATATGTATATAAATAAAATTTTAAACAAAATAATATTTAGAATAAAATATCAAGGGATTTTTAAATTTATGAAAATAATAGTGATTGTTTTATTGAAAATGAAGTGATTACAACAAATTATATTTTTATGTATGAAAATTTTGTAAAAAAATCTCAATATAACGATAATATCCATCATTATTGATATGCAAATATAATTAATCTCACTATATATATGTAAAAATTACTAAATTGTTAGTTATATTTGCATGTGGAGTTCACCCTTCATATGTTGCTTTACTCGTAGTTGGTGATATCATATGTCAATAATGACGTGATATCTATATCACTACTATATGAAATTTCTACTCAAATTTTGTAAAAATTTGATTTATCTTACCATTATATAATTTATTTTACGACTTAAATATATGACTTTTTATATTGTCGATGATACACTAGTTACACACAATACTTTCTTTTCGATTTTACTCCAAGTTAATTGTAAAATTTTATGTGAAATACTTTTGTAATAATTTATTTAATTTTTTATACTTAATATTAATTTAAAAATTATTATTATCTTCTTATTATTGATTATAAAAAAAAACTATAATTAATAAATGCCCATCTTTTTATTTTTTATACATATGTATATAAATAAAATTTTAAACAAAATAATATTTAGAATAAAATATCAAGGGCATTTTTAAATTTATGAAAATAATAGTGATTATTTTACTGAAAATGAAATGATTACAACAAATTATATTTTTATGTATGAAAATTTTGTAAAAAAATCTCAATATAAAGATAATATCCATCATTATTGATATGCAAATATAATTAATCTCATTATATATATGTAAAAATGACTAGATTGTTAGTTATATTTCCATGTGGAGTTCACCCTTCATATATTGTTTTACTATTGGTTGATGATATTATATGCCAATAATGACGTGATATCGATATCACTACTATATGAAATTTCTACTCAAATTTTGTAAAAATTTAATTTATCTTACCATTATATAATTTATTTTACGAGTTAAATATATGACCTTTTTACATTATTCATGATACACTAGTTACACACAATACTTTCTTTTCGATTTTACTCCAAGTTAATTATAAAATTTTATGTGAAATAATTTTGTAATAATTTATTTAATTTTTTATACTTAATATTAATTTAAAAATTATTATTATCTTCTTAACATTGATTATAAAAATTTAAAAAAAAAACTATAATTAATAAATGCCCATCCTAATTTAATTTCATGCTCCACTAGGAATGGCAACGGGCCGGGCCGAGGCCGGGGATGACACTCCCCATCCCTGATCCCCGAAGGTTAAAAAATCCCCGTCCCCGGTCCCGATCCCTGACGGGGAAGGCATCTCCTCTCCCGCCCCCGTCCCCTAACGAAGATCGGGTTTCCCCGACCCCAAAAAATCCCCGACAGACTTATTCACAACACACACACTGATCTGTTCAACACACACACACAGAGATCTGTTCAACAAAAAAAAAATATATGTATATGGACAACAATCTACAACAGATCTAGAACACACACACCCATACAACAATAGATCTAAAAAAAATTAATCTGTATATATATGGACAACAGATCTAGAACACACACAGATCTATATATAGATTATTATTTCCAGAACCAAATACGGGGAACAATGGCAAGGAAGACCACACACACACACATATATAGAGAGAGAGAGGAAAAGAGATGCACAGATCAGTGGCTTGGCTTGACGGTTCACGAACCACGATCTGTCAGATCGGTGGCTTCACGGTTCAGATCGGTGGCTTCACGGTGGTGGATCTGGATGATCATGATGATAACGAGGAGTGAGAGAATGAGAGAGAAATCACCGTGGATCTGGACGATGATGATGATGATAACAAGAAATGAGAGAATGAGAGAGAAATCAAAGTGAGTGAGTGAGGGAGAGGGAAAGTAAGAGGGAGAGGGACACGGAGAGTGAGAGGGAGGGAGATGAGAGACGCTGTGGTGAGTGAGAGGGAGAGGGACACAGAGAATGAGAAGTCCGTTACTAAAACCTTAGTCATGCAAAGCCAAAATATATATATATATATATATATATTTTCTTGTCTTTTTCAAAAGGTTTTAGTAACGGACTAATAATTAATGGACGATAAAAGTTCATCAAGGGGCCAACCATGAGCATTCTCATCAATATCGAGTAGAATAGGATAATTCAACATAAAATATGTAGAAGGGAAAAGAAAAAAAAAATGATTATTTAAATTATAAGAGAAAAGAAAAAAAATAAAATGATTGTGATTTCTCTTATTCTTATTTGGATAAGTAAAAAATAAAAGAAAAGAAATGATTTTGATTTCTGTCTTTTTTATTTGGTTAGATTTCATAAGAGAAAAAAAAAAAAAAAAACTTTTATGTTATATTACTAAAATAACCTTTTGCTGGATATGAAAAGCCTTTGAGGGCATAAGTGTCAATCATTTTATTTATTTTATTTTTATAGGGACAAAATTGGTATTATGAAAATATAAGAATCAATTGGTTTCTTTTATCTCTCAATTTCTCTACTTTTGAAAAGATTGAAAATGAGGGTTATAAGATAAATGAGTTTCTCTCCGTTTCCCTCATTTCTTTCTACTTAAATTATCCAAATAAGTAAGAGAAATACATATCTCTTCATTTCTTTTATTCTCTCTAAATCACTCAATCCAAACATAGTGCAAGAGAAAACTAATAAAAATACATCTTTATCAAAGAAAATAGACACCAAGTGATTTAATAAATGAGTAATGATAGGTATCATGAAAAAAAATCATGAAAATGATCATAAAAGTGATTATGAAAGATTCTCCACCGTTAGATTACATATACAAGAAAACAACACACTAATCAAAGAATAAAAAATCTTCATAAAATATTTCATGATATTTTTTTCATAATTACTACTATTATTCTTAATAAATTTTTAGTCTAGACTCAAGTAAGTCATTTTATGGCCTAAAAAGGCCTAACAATCTGGGTAGTGCAAAACGGGAATTCACAGGTGCCCACTCAATAAGGACTCGAGCCATAACTTGACTCTAATCTTTGATAAGGAGTCGATGAGTCAAAAATTAAGATTAAACAACTGAAGTAAGATAAAAATAACAGCAAGATGATATAATTACCTTCTGTTCTCCAAAATTGATCCAAAACCTAGCCATGGCTCTCTCATAAACATCCTCCGGCAGCAACGGATTCTCCGGCCATGTTTCTTCGATGATTCAAGGATTACAGATGACTCAAGGATCGGTTTTCCACCATGAACAAGCAATGGAATCTTCTTGTGAACTGGATTATACTGTAACAGCAATTCACTCTTGTTGGAGAGGTCTTCTTCTATGTACTCATACTTGACACCCTTTAGTTTCAGAGCCCATATCACTTTGCAACTGTAAGGACTAGGCCAAAATCCATGAAGCTTCACTTCTTCCATGGTTTGATGAGCCCTCTGAGTCTTTTTTCTTGGAAGAGACCCTCCTTTAGTTAAAGGTTGTTTTGGGACCATTTAGACAGTATGTGTTTTCTTCCTTGTGTTTGCCCCTTGAGCTATCTATCCATGAAATCAACAAGAGGACAAAAAATATACATTGTAAACAAATAACTAAAAAATAATTAAAACACTGCTTAAAAGTCACAAGTTTTTAAGAACACAAAAAACTATTATTTAGGTATTACGTGCTTAATAGCCCCGGGACAATACACTCACTAGGTACCAAGCACTAAAGCCCTTCACCAAACTGAAAACACAAATGCACTGGCCATTGACCAAACAGAGAAATTTAACATAAACCAAAAACCAACATCACACTACTACAACTGTCAGAAATACCAGTAGCATCTTCCACTAATGCTTTGCAAGTAGGAAGTTTTTCTTTCATAGAGATGTCAGTACGACAGTAACATCTCTCTCAGATGCTTGAAAAGCACAAACATCTTGTCACGATCAAGAAGGTTTTCTTTGATCTCCGACACTTGAAATTTTTTAACTTCAATCTTCAATTAACTTCAAATACAAAATTATTGAGAGGGTAATTGATATATATAAATTAGGCCGAGTTGGGTAATGGGCTGTTGTGAGCCACAGTAAGAAGGGCGAAGTAAAAAAGGCCTTGGCGTTAGTCCGGTTCCCAAAAGGCCTTGTTATTATCCCGGTCCAAGAGAGTGTTACAGACAGCCCGGTCGTGGCATGTTGCGGTTAGCTCGGTCAAAACCTTGCTATTTCTTAGTTCGTTCTAAACACACCATGGTTTGTAGAGGAGAAGCCGAGGTAAGAGTAGTGAATGGAATAAACCGAACTGGCTTTAGTTCGGTCTACTCTGCGGCTTAGCATAGCCATGCTTACCTCGGTTATATTGGGATCCGACCATGGTAAAGCCATCTCACTTGGTTTAAGTAATGAGGGGATGTTGAAGGATAAGCATTATCTTTTAGAAATGTGATTCCTAGGGGGACTCTACAGGGAGGAGTAAGAGTCCTACTAGGATTGTGCCACACGGAACCTATAAAAGCTCACAACATCACCTATGGAGAGGTAACGCAACTTTGATTCTCGAATACACAGAGCTTTTGTCTATTTGTCTATTTGGCTGACTTAGGCATCGAAGAGGTATCCGGCACACACCCGCCGGCCAGCTCACGTTTGTATTTTCAGGGAATAAAGCGACATCGTACGGAGGAGCACAGACTTGATCAACAGGATTATACGAAAAGGTTTATTTCTTTCCTGTAAAATTGAGCCCACAAATTAATAATTTCAATTTCATACTATAATCCTATCAATCAAACATATTCAAAAGTCACAAGTTTTTAAAAACGCAATTAACTATCCTTTAGATATTATGTGCTTAATAGTCCCAAGACAATACACCCACTAGGCACCGAGCACTACAGCCCTTCACCAAACTGAAACATAGGCCTTTGACCAAACAGATAAATTAACATAGACCAAAAACCAACATCACACCAATACAACTGTCATAGAGATACCAGTAACATCTTCCACTGATGCTTGAAAAACACGAACATCTTGTTGCAAGTAGGAAGTTTTTCTTTCATAGGGATGTCAGTATGACAGTAAAAACTCCCTCAGATGCTTGAAAAACACAAACATCTTGTCACGATCAGGAAGGTTTTCTTTGATCTCAGACACTTCCTTGAAATTTTTTATCCACGAATGCAAGCGAGGGAATGACTCTGCTTCTAGCAACTTCACACCTACTATCTCTTCTATGACTTCCAACCAGTAAGCAATCCATCCCAAGGCTATGTCCACCATTCCAACACTCTCTCCACCGAAGAGCTTCTTGTCGCCAAGGGCATGTTCTTCTATGGTTCTCAGCATTTCCAAGATACCCTGCCTGGCCTTTTCATGTTCTTCCCCGGAGGTTCGAAACATTGTCCAAATTATAATACCCTATAGCACCATAGTAAACAAAAATCATCAAAGACGAATACAAAGGCATGTTCAATCTTAAACCCTCAACCATGCCACATAGGACATTTTTCATAACCCTTGGATTTATTCAATCTTTACCCTCAACTATGCCACATAAGATAAGACACTCTTCAAAAACTGATTTGTTTTATTATATATAGATTCATAGAGAGTTAAAGATTCAATATAAAGTTTTTTAAACTATTTTTCTTTCTTAAAAATACTGAAACAAATAAAAAAATGTGAAAATATTTACCTTATCTTCAACAAATTTAGCCCAAAATCGAGCGCTAGCCCTATCGTATGGGTTGTTTGGCAGCAAGGGGTTTTGTGGCCATGTCTCTTCTATGTATTCAAGGATAACCATAGACTCACAAATTGGTTTTCCACCATGGACAAACACTGGGATCTTCTTGTGAACTGGGTTGTACTGTAGAAGCAGAGGACTTTTGTTGGAAAGATCTTCTTCTACATATTGGTAAGGTATGCCCTTTAGTTTCAGAGCCCATATGACTCTGCAGCTAAATGGACTTGCCCATGCTCCCAATAGCTTCACTTCCTCCATCTTTGAGGTGTCAACGTGAGAGCCCCTTTGTTCTTGGGTCAACTTATAGTTGTTGTTAGACAACCATTCTTGGGCACCAAGCTAACAATGTCAAAGAATTAATTGTTTATATAAATTATATTAATATATATTGATAGTTGGTCTACTATATATATACACCTGTGTAAGACTTTTTAATGCTGGAGGGAGATTGAGAGTTTTCATTTTTATATATCATACGACTAATCTAAAACCTATTAAAGAATATACATCTGTGTAAGAATTTTTAATGCTGGAGGGAGATTGACAGTTTTGTGATTCTTAAATTTTCATTTTTATATATAGGGAGTGTTTGGGAAGATGGTTTGAGGCTAAAATAGCCTCAAACTAAAAAAAAAAACTAAAAAACTCCTAAACCAACCTTTTTTATTAAAAAATAAATAAATAAATAAATAGGGCTGCCATGGGACAGTGTAGGCACAGCCTACACTGTCACCTTGTCAAGTTGTTCCATCACTTGTTAAATTACGATTTTGCCCACTTTATATCAATTTTGGAAAATGTGATCTTAGGGATAAATTTGTTATTTTAATTTCAAATACCATTTCAACATATTTTTCAATACAACGACTCAAATAAAAATCTATCATATCTTTCCAAACACAAAAACTAAAATAGCCTATTAAAATAACCAAAAATTTAAAAAATCTCTAAAATAGTCACTTCCCAAACGAGGCCATAAGAGCATTTCCAATGGTTGTTGCTATAATTTGGCAATGAATAGTGCTATTTTGCCAAATTATAGCAATAGTGTTCCAATGGTCACTTGCTATTTTAGCAATTCTCAACCAACTTTTCATCCAAGTTTGTAGGTATTGTTTGGATATAGGTTTTTTTGTGATTTTATTTTTGTTTATTTTTTGTCTTTTATGACCTTTTTCTAACTATTTCTAAAAAAATTATATATTTATATTATTTTCGACTAGACAAATATAAAAAATGAAAAAAAATAGAAAAATTAGAAAAAAAATAAATATGATTAAATTTGAAAAATTAAATAGAAAAATTAAATTTGAAAAATTATTTGGTTTTCTGCTGTTTCAATTCTGTTTTTTCAACGGAATTTAGAGCCACAAATATGTTTATATTTGCTAATGTGGCATGTTTGGCAATTACTATTTTACTTGTCAAATTTGAGCACAGATATGGCATATGCTATATGTGGGAAATAAAATAGCAAGTCATTGGAGATCCACTTTTTATCACTATTGCTATATTATAGCTTTGACAAGTGTTTTGAGAGCTCTATTGGAGATGCTCTAATACGACTAATCTAAAACCTATTAAATTTTCATTTTTATATATAATACGACTAATCTTGATATTCAATTAACTTCAATTTTGACAAGTATACAAGACTAGTGTATAAATCCAGTAGAGAGATTTACAAAAAGATAAAACATATTAAAGAATATACATACACCAAAGAACTTTTCTCCATCAATAGAGTTTTGAGATGCTCACACACAAACAGGCAAATCAGACTACAAACCAGATATGGGGGTTCATATCAAAACTACAAACTAATCAAAACAGAAATAGAAGAGGGAACTAGATTGATGACTCTCTTCTCCATGTTTTTTTTTTTTTTTCATAGATCAAAGATCAATTTTTTTTGTAAGATGATACAAATTTATGTCTTGCAAGTTGTTTGCTTGAGTTTGTGTGGCTTTTGATATTTGATTAAAAGAATCTCATTGACTCGATAATTTTGTAATGCAAGGGCAAATTCAGTATTTTAATTTAAAATTTTGATGACATTATCAATTTTTATCTAATAATAATTGGTGATTAACAATGAGGGTTGTGTAACTATAAAATTGCCTAAGTGGTATTTATATGAGAAGGGGGTGAGGTTTTAGATTCAAGCAATTTGGTGTTGTAATTTAATATATATATATATATATATATATATAAACAGTTATTTATAAATAAATAAAAACAATATTTTAAAATTAAAAAAAAACACGTTATTAAGTTTTATAAATTTAATATAATTATGATAATACAGTTTATCCCAGTGAATGGATCGAACTGGTTCACGCTCCTCAAGCCCCGGTCCAAATGATCAAGCTCACTGGATAACCTACAAACAAGTTCAACGGGGAACGGGGTAGTCCCCCAGTGAACCCTCCGACGAGCAAGTTAGGAAAAGAAGTAGAGTATAGAGGAGAATTAGAGATATAAAAGCTTAACCTTCTTCTTGCCTTCAACGTTTACTTATATCCTTTGGTAATCATTTCGCTGTCCCTTCCGACCTGCCCTCCTCGCCGAAAGTCTATGTTGTAGCTTACCTTGCTCAAGGTAAGGGGGTCATGTTCCAACAGAGAGGTGTTGTCGTAATAAATGCTGTGATGGGCTGTATTAATGATGATGTGCAGTGGCAATAACTTTGCAGATCTTTATCTGCTGATGTGGCCCGTCCTTCACCTGCCGTGTGTCTGAATATCATTGGCTCTTTATGCCATGTTGGACTCCAGCTGTCTTGGACCTCACCAGCTGGGTTATGCATTGGGCTCCAAGTGATGGGCTTGGATTGTTCATAGTGATTCGTGGCCTTTATGGGCTTATACACGTCAGTAGTCCCCCATTCCCGAGTTCAGCTTTAGTCCAACGAAGGGAATATTAATGAAGTAAATGTGGGTGTTAGGAATTGGCAGGATGGAGGTCGACCGGCAAGGGTGACCGAGGGGGTGAACCGACTGGGAGGTGGTCCGATCGTGCAGGGCGACCGAGTGAAAGGGCCGATCACGGGGAGGGCCGACCGCAAAGGTTGGCCAAGTAGGAGGGTCTACCACGAGGAGGGCAGACCGCGAAAGGAGGGCCAACCGCGGAGGTTGGCCGAGTGGGAGGGTTGACCGCGAGGAGGGCCGACCGCGAAAGGGGAGCCGACAGCAGAGGTTGGCCGAGTGGGAGGGTTGACCGCAAAGAGGGCCGACTGCGAAGGGTGAGGTGGAGGGGCGTGGGACTCCAGCTTTAGTCCAACGAAGGGAATATTAATGAAGTAAATGGGGGTGTTAGGGATTGGCAGGATGGAGGTTGACCGGCAAGGGTGACCGAGGGGGTGAATCGACTGGGAGGTGGTCCGACCGTGCAGGGCGACCGAGTGGAAGGGCCGATCACGGAGAGGGTCGACCGCAAAGGTTGGCCAAGTAGGAGGGTCTACCACGAGGAGGGCAGACCGCGAAAGGAGGGCCAGCCGCGGAGGTTGGCCGAGTGGGAGGGTTGACCGCGAGGAGGGCCGACCGCGAAAGGGGAGCCGACAGCAGAGGTTGGCCGAGTGGGAGGGTTGACCGCAAAGAGGGCCGACTGCGAAGGGTGAGGTGGAGGGGCGTGGGACTCGAGGGGCGTCGTGCCACGTGGTGATTTGAAGTGGAAAAGACAGGGTAAGGGGAGGAGACAGGGGATCGTGGTCGTACACGTGGCGACATCCCGCGGGGGGGGGAGATTAGGCGCCAGATCAGAGATGAAACGATAGGTCATTATGGGTGTTGAAAAGACAATTTTGGCAGATGATTTGAAAAGTTTTCAAAATGGAAAAAATTAATTGGGATCCTTAGAATACGGGAAAACCATGGGCTTTTGGCATCATTCGATTCACCTACTTGTTTACAAAAAATCAAAACATTCCAAGTGTTAATTTCTTTGTTGCTCACGATACGCCTCTACAACACTTTTTCAATTTCCTTGCACCTGCATCCGAAGCGATTCGCAGACATACCATAGAGATGGCCCAAGAAGAAACTACGAATGTCAGGGTGGATCCACTTGGTGATGATGATGCAGTGGAGTTGGCGCAGCAGTACCGGACGGAGAGAGTGGGGGAGTTGGTGGGACGATCCCAAGGTTCCACCATGGTAGCGGCTCCAAGGCCAATTAGCCAGGCAGAACCAGATCACTGGCACACAAAGGCAGACAGATCCACTCTTACACCGGTGGAGTTGAAGGAAATAAGGAGGAAGTACCAGATTCCTTTGGAAATAGGGTTGAGGCTGTCGACATCTACCGAGAGGGCGTCGGATGCACGGACGGGGGAATTTAGCTTGTACGAGGAGGCATTGCGAGGAGGTGTGAGGCTACCGCTGCCTCAAGTTGTGGTTGATGTGTTGAATAAACTAGATGCGGCGCCAGGTCAGTTGATGCCAAATGCCTGGAAAATATTGATGGCGTGCGCGAGTTCTTGGCCGCAAACGTCGGGAGGGTTGGCCTTGATGGTAGATGAGTTCTTCTCGTGCTACAAGGCCTCCGGCCAGCAGGACACTTGGGTTACACTGCAGGTGGTGGCTGGACGAGGTCTGGTGGCGGGTCTGCCATCTTCGGTAAAAGGATGGAGGCCAAGGTGGTTCTTTGTGACGACAAACGGCGGGGCGAGAGTTCGCACAACTTGGAAGGTGCCCACCAAATCGGTCGAGCCCAAGCTGGACAAGGCGGCTGAGGACCGAGTGAAGAGGGTGAGGGATTGGAGAGAGGAGAAGGGAGTAAGGTGGGACGAGCTTGTTCTACCGTCGGTTCTGTTTGCCTTAAACTTGGGACCGCAGCCGTTGGGAGGGGGTCCAGAAAGGGAGGAGTTGGAGGTGTAAAAGAAAGCGGAGGAGGAGGAGGAGGAAAGGAGGTTGTTCGCGCAGGCGGACAAGTACAAGGAGTCCCAGTTGGGGCCTACCTCGAAGCCAGTCACGAGAGAGCAGATCCGACCGCACCCCAAGCCGTTGGAGAAGAAAGACTTAGGCAGTTTTGTGCCCCGACCACACCCAGTGGATCCTGTGAAGGAACGGGCGAACAAGGAGCAGGATGCTCTAAAGAAGAATAAGAAGAGGAAGGTGGGGAGGAGTCAAGAAGAGCCTGCCTTGAAGAGGAGGAGGGAAGTGGTGGGTAAAGAGACCAGTATGGCGAAGGGGGCAGAGGGGGAGAAGTGGAGGAGACCCCAAGAAGAGTAATTGCCCCAGAAGTGGTGGACATTGCCTTAGAGGGCATGGAAGTAGTTCCATTAG